GCAGGCCTTGCTTTAATACCAACTATCATTAAGTGTAGTTGTCTGGACAAGTGTTGTCTATGAAGTAGTTAGAAGTGGTATAAGTTCCTCTTTATCCTTCTTCTTTTCCCTGCATGATTTTTTTCTGGGGGAAATGCCAATCCCTTGGGGATAATTATCTCAATAGTTTAAAAGTCAATCTACTCATGGGTGCACTTTTGCACCTTTAGTTGATCTTCCTGTTATCAGAGTTACAGAAACTTTGATTATTGTTTGTGATAATGAATGTAGATGATTAATACACTCTATCTGGTCACAGGTATAGAAGATCCTTGAAAAGCTAAAAATAGAACTTCTGTGTAATATAGCTGTTCAACTCCTGGGTATACACCCAGAAGAATAAAAGTCAGCATGCAATAAAGATGAATGCATATCCATTTTTATTGAAGCACGGTATACTAAAAATAGTATATTAAGGGCAGCAATGAGAGAACAAAGTACTGCTCTACTAATGCCCCACTTGTCAAATCAATGTGTTGACTGGGTTTAGTCACAGAGCATAGGTGAACCATACCTTATATTGAACTGTCTGAAAGGCTGATCATCTGATAATGTTGTCCATGAATATCCCCAAATTAGATTAGAAAATTGCAAGCCCAGAGACCAATTACAATTCATATCATGCTTTCTTTAGAAATGTTAACAGTTTATTTTATTTTATTTTTTTATTTAAAATTTCCACCTCCTCCCCTCCTCCCAGTTTCTTCCCCTCCCTCCCTCCCTCTCCCCCCTCCTCTCCAGTCCAAAGAACAGTCAGGGTTCCCTACCCTATGGGAAGTCCAAGGTCCTCCCCTTCCCCCACCCCCCAGGTCCAGGAAGGTGAGCATCCAAACAGACTAGGCTCCTACAAAGCCCATCCAAGCAATAGAATCAAAACCCAGTGCCACTGACCTTGGCTTCTCAATCAGCCTCCACCATCAATCACATTCAGAGAGTCCGGTTTGATGACATGCTCTATCAGTCCCAGTCCAACTGGCCTTGGTGATCTCCCATTAGATCAGTCCCACCATTGCAGTGGATGGATGCACCCCTCAGAGTCCTGACTTCCTTGCTTATGTTCTCCCTCCTTCTATTCCTCATTTGGACCTTGGGAGCTCAGTCCAGTGCTCCAATGTGGGTCTCCGTCTCTATCTTCATCCATCGCCAGATGAAGGTTCTATGGTGATATGCAAGATATTCATCAGTGTGGCTATAGGATAAGGCCAGTTCAGGCACCCTCTCCTCTGCTGCCCAATGAACAAGCTGGGGACATCTCCTTAGACAGCTGGGAACCCCTCTAGAGTCAAGTCTCTTGCCAACCCTAAAATGGCTCCCTTAAATAAGATATCTACTTCCCTGCTCCCACATCCACCCTTCCTCCATCCCAAGCATCCCATTACCCCAAGCTCTCCTCATCCTCCCCTCTCCCTTCTCTCTCCCCATCTCCCCTTACTCCCACCCCACCCCCACCCCGATGCTCCCAACCCCTGCCTGACAATCTTGTCCACTTCCAATATCCAGGAGGGTAACTATATGTTTTTTTGGGTTCACCTTCTTATTTAGCTTCTCTAGGATCACAAATTATAGGCTCAATGCCCTTTATTTATGGCTAGAATCCACTTATGAGTGAGTACACACCATATCTACTTTATTTGTTCTTCTATAACCAATATAGGTTTGCCTAGATGGTTGGTATCATCTGCCTTGTTATACACTGAAAAAAGGAGTTGATAAGAGACTGAAAGTAGTTTTGCTTTCTAAGAATGTTTTATAGACAGAACAATTGATTCCCAATGATTTTCTTCTGTAGCATTTAAAAGTTGTAGGGTCAAGAGTATGTGATAGTTGGCACTGACAGTCAAGGAGGAACAAAATGTTAGAAGTAGATGCTTTTATCCAGGTCTAAACTAAGATCACCTCTGACTAGTGTGGGTCTAAAGAACAACCTTTGAAAGTCCAAAACCACAGCCAACCTATCTGCAAACAGTGACACATAATCTAAAATCTTAAATTGTGAGTGTCTTCCCTGCTACAGAAAAGTAATAGGATGATTGATATTTAACATTAGAGGACCCTGTTTATCCTCCAGTCCCAGATTAGGCTAGACTACAGTGTAAGGCCAGACTACAGTTTAGGTCAAACTGATACAGTCTATGGGTATATTGTTTCCCATCTGTATGACTAAAGAAAGATATGTTGGATCATTTTCCAAATCTCCTTATATAATACACTTGACACAGATGAACATAGTGGGGTAGGGCCACACCTTACTAGGATAGCTTGCATTTGCACATCCTTGATTCTCTAGTTAAACTTTAATATTCCTACAGGACCCTGAGGAGTTTTCTGGATCAATTTGTCCCTCTTCCCAATATGGTCAAATTAAATAAATACCCTTTATGTTTTCTGAATTTAACTTAGCTCTTTGTATTGGCTGATTTTGAAAGGGTGGTCAGGCCTGGCTTGGATCACAGGAGGTGACCCACAAAGTCAATAACACATTGTCTTCGGCTCCAGAGCACACTCTGGATCTTTCTTTTCCGTCCTCTCTTTATGAATAATAAAGGACAAACCTTTTGGACTAATCCCTCTTATGATGGAGAACTGAATTTTTCCATGTTTCTTGACCTCCCTGAGTAGTGTCAAAGACTTTAATATCCTTTAACCTTGATATACCTTATATCCTGTATTTTGTGTGGTTAATATTAGCCTATCTTTCAGGACCTAGCATCCAGAAAAATCCTCTGAAGGAAATATTGACCCTCATGTATCAGGGAAGTCAGCCACCTGCTCAAATATCACAAATCTATGAGGTTCCTGGCTCCTTTGTGAGTTATGCTTCTGATGACTCCTTTCAGTGTTGGGAGGCAACTGTTCATCTCTCAATTCATGTGTAGAATAGGACAGATAGAGAGTATTGGAATGGATCCTTTTACCAGCTGAGAGTTTCCCATGTGCTTTGCTGCATCTCTGGAATGCCAAGACTGGGAAAATGTAGGGAATTAAAACTATATTTTGGAAGAAGTCTATGAAACTGGAATTAGTGGCAACAGCACTGCTTCCAAAAGACATTGCACTGGTTTTGATTGTGTGACAAGGGAGTAAGATTCCTTAAGAATATCATGATAAGATCTTTCTGTTTTGGTGCTCAACTCATAAATTGGCCCTCCAGGCATGACTGAACTCAAGGAGACAAAGGCTGACTACCAGAAGAAACTTCTCCTGCATATTACAACAATTACCCAGCTTTTCCTCTCAAGAAGCCTTCTTTATTGCAGAGTTACCATGCCAGTTTTACCTCAAGCTTGTGGTATCCTTGACCTCTGCCTTGTACAAGCAACCCATACATATCCAACCAAACACCTTATCTTCATTATTCTAACACCTTCAAAGTCTTGCCTAATTTATACATTTCACTGCAGGTCTATGGCACTTTGTAGGAAGGTGGTGGTAAGATGATTCACTTCTTGAGACAACTTTGAATACTAGAGATCAGGCACAAGAGAATAGCAGCGAGGTACTACAGTGTCCAAAAATAAGTGAGGAATGATGGTTATAGATTGAGTTCACAAAATTGAATTGTTGAATGTGTAATTGTTGAATGGAAAAGAGACTGATTATTTATAATTTTGTCTATGAACTAAGAAAAACAGAGATGTTTTATAGGTGGAAATTTGATGAGTGAATCCCCTTTGTATGCTGTGGCAGGGAGCACGGGGCCCCTTTGTTCTGTCCCACCCTAAATAATCACACAGAAATTGTATTCATTTCAACACTGCCTGGCCCATTAGCTCTAGCCTCTTATTGGCTAACTCTCACATCTTGATTAACCCATTTCTATTAAATCTGTGTATCACCTTGTGACTGTGGCTTACAGGCAAGATTTTAACTTATGTCTATCTCAGGCAGGAGATTCATGGCATCTGCCACACTGCCCTTCATCCCAGCATTCTGTTCTCTCTAACCCATCTACCTAATTTCTGCCCCATCAAAAGGCCAAGGCAGTTTCTTTAATAATCAATAAATGCAACACAAATACAAAAGGATCTCCTACACCAGTATGCTGACATTACCATTAATGAATAAATTGCCTTGGCCTATTGATAGGGCAGAACTCAGGTAGGCAGGAAAGGCAGAATTGAATGCTGGGAGAAAGAATGGCAAAGCCCTAGAGACACCATGGAGCCGCCAGAGTCAAACATGCCAAATCTTTGCCAGTGAGCCACTGTCATGTGCTGATACACAAATTACTAGAAATGGGCTAAATTAAGATATAAGAATTAGTTCATGAGATGCTAGAGCTAAGGGGCCAAGCAGTGATTTAATGAACACAGTTTCTGTGTGGTAATTTCAGGGCTAAGATAGCAGGGTAGCCATGAACTGGGCAGCAGGATGAACAAGTAGACCTTCCACCAACAGAAATTCCCATTAGGAGTCACAGTGAATATCATTCCAAAGGTGTTGATTCATTCCAGTTACATAATACTTGATCCTGAGTCTTACTGTTTTCTGTGGTCAGACTGAGATTCCAACATTTTTATATTTATTATATTTAGTGCATTATTAGATTGTTTTCTGATCTTATATTCCATACATTGTAAATAATGGTATTGTTGCCCAGAAAGAGTTCATTGCACAAATAGCTTTTGATTCTCTATTGCAGATATAGGATGGCTATGGATTGGGTGAACACATGAACAGCACCATGTGTCTCTTACTACCCGAACAGCACAGACTGATGATTGATTTACTGTTTGTAGAAAGAATGGCATCCTTTTAATTTATTGGAGGTGAATTGGTACTATTGGGTCACATGAGCAAGTTGAAATCATATCAGAAAAATCCACTTTAGACCAACATTTCAATGTGCCAGAAACAAATGCATAGACATGAAATGAGGAAGGAGACAAATTGAAGGCACACCTCTTGAGACATGACTCATGATGCACCTAGCATTTTTAATTCAGCAATTAGTTTTCAGTGCATTTTCATTATAGGAGGAATCATCAATCCCATAGCAACTATTAGATAAAAAGATAAGCCATTGAGATCATAAATGATTTTCCCACCACAAAATTAGGGTTCAACGTCCAGAAATTTGATTCAATGCTTTTAGCTCAATTCCTTCACCATTTCTTGAGTCGCTTTCATTCTCTGACATTACTCTCCTCTCATATGAGCAAGGCTGGCAAGCTTCAGGACATCCACCATTTCTTCCTGTACTCTTATTTTCCTTCCTTCTCCAGCATCACAGTCTGGGGACAGCACAGAGGCGGTGACTGACTGGAGTGAGTGTGAGGCCATTTCTGAACTTTAGGCTCAGCTTCTCATTGACTGGGGGCTTGAAGGTGAAGTTTTGCATAAGAGCAGTGAAGAAAATGAATAGCTCAGACCTGGCCAATTGTTCTCCCAGGCAAACTCTCTTTCCTGTGAGACAAAAACAGAAGATGAGTCATTTTCTCAGCTGATTTTAGTGCATGGAAGGACTGATGTCCATAACTTTTTACTGCAAATACTGAGCTGATCATGCGCTTTGTGTCCATCTGATTATGTCTAACACCTTCCTGATTTGGTCATTAGAGCACCATTTAAGCTGGGATTTTTCTGAATTTGGCCCAACAATATGTCCCAGGCTTGTATTTTAATCTTGCCATTTTCCCTGGTGTCCTGGTTCCTTGCATTGACTAATGTTAAGGAAAGACTTAGATAAGACACATTCTCACAACTCTAGAAGCAATTTTCTAGGTTGCCTTACACCATATACAGTGAACTTGGTGTATTTATCAAATTGTGTGTATAGACACACGTATTTACATGTCAGTCTCTTAATGAATTTTTGTGCTCACACCATTCTTCTTTGATGATCCAGGACAACCCTAGCAAGCCACTGTTCTCTCCCTCAGTGAACATTCTCACCATCTATCTCAGCAGCATTGCAGATTTCTACAAGGTCTTTATTCATCTTTAAGCAAACATTCATGTAGATGTGTTTGTGCATATGTGTGCCTATTTGTAGGTACACATGTGTGCACCTATGTATAGAAGTTAATGGTCAGCTATTGGTGTTCATCCTCAAGTGCCATCTTCTTTATTTATTTATGCATTTATTTATTTTGGAGACAGTGTCCCTGCTAATCAGGCTAAGCTGGCTTGTCAGTGAGTTCCAAGGTCCTCTTGTCTCTGGCCATCGAGCAGGAGTACACACATGTGCTGACATACTCAGCTTTCCAAAGAGCTTCTGGGGATCAATCAGGACATTATACTCATAAGACAAGCAATTTACCAGCTGAGTTAGTAGCTTCTTTTATTCCTAAATAATACATGTTGAGTGTGAAAAATAAAGAACAATAGTGTAAAATCGGAAGCAAAGCCCAAAGCCTCAGAATTGCTGTACTAACTAAGAAGAAGTTTATTGAGATATACAGACTGATTCTGGGCAAATTCTTTTTTGAGAGGCATTGATTTCCATTTTTCCTACTCTCCAACTTGTCAAGGCCATCTTGGCACTATGAGTGACTGTGAATTACATTAATACAAGGAGCACATACAGTGTACAAAGTCGGTCCCTTGAGAATGCCAACCAGTATGGATGCTGGTATCAGAATTGACACTCGAGAAGAATTACTTTTTCTTTATTCTCTCTTTTCCTTTCCCTTTTTCTCCTTGTCTCCCCCTTATCACTTGTTGAGTTTCTCTCTTTCTCTCTTCCTTTAACTGCTAAGTCTAGAGTCTTGCATATTCGTGAAAGTATGGTTTCTCTGAGCTATACCCCTTTTTACCATTTCATTTGAAACAGGATCTCTCTAGTTTGCCCAGGATGCATTTCTCCTCACCATTGCACTTCAAATCAAGTCCATTTGCCTGCAAGAGTGTATCCCTAATAATAACTTGGGACACTCAAAAATTCCATGAAGGTTTCACATATCCACCTTAGTAAAGAGAGAAGATACTATATGTGGGACTCCATTCTTAGTGTTTTGAGAGAGAAAAAAAATGAGGCAGGCTGAAATACCCAGGTAAGTTAAGGAAGACTGAAAAATAGGGTGTGTCTTAAACAGTGCCAAGGCCAGGGATGAAGGACTACTTCAAAACATAAAGTGGAATCACCTTGGGCCATCTGGAGAACTTTTCATTAAAGCATAGTATTATGGGATGAGAGGAGGGAATGGCTGGGTGGAGCTCTGAACTCTGTCCTCTCATCACAACTCACCCATTGAGAAAGGCAGAAAGGATTCTCTCTTCTTAAACTGTCCATTCTCCAAAAAGTGCTCTGGATTGAAGATTTCCGGGGTGGCCCACTCTTTGGGGTCACTGTGTAGTGCAGTCAAGTTGGTTAGAATCACGGTGCCCTAGAAATAACAGCAAAGAGCCAAGGCTTGATATATATAATAGACTTGCAAGGAGGTAAATACAGTTCTACTCTCCCCACTTAGTGCCTTCTCCTTTGTCGAGATAACTTTGTATTGATTGTGAGTACATACTGGGTACATTCTAGTCCATTAGGTTGCTTTTTAGTGCTGGACACAAATCTATACAGGTCTGTACAGGTCTATGGGGAGACATGGTAGCATCCAAAGGAGAATAAAGAGGCAGGCAAGAACAAAGACCAAGTCAGCCTCATCCTACCTTAAGGACCTGGGCAGTTCTATGAAGGGAAATGATGAGCCTTCCATCTTTGCTTTCATTTTTTAGCCCTTAATGTGGAGGACTCTGATCCCATTCCTCAGGGTTATGAGCCCATCAAGAAAGAAGAGCTTGCAAGCTTATTCTATCATGCTAGACTCCCAAGCATGGTAGCTAGACTCCCAAGAGTTTACCCTTACCTCACACTGGATCATCTACCCTATGAGTGAGGATTAGCCCTTCTTCCAATCTCTCTTGATTTTGTCATATCCATTCCTGATTCTGAGAAACGTCTTACTGCAGGCTGCCTCTTGCTATCTCAGTCCCACATCTGCTGCACAGCTAACAGTGAAGTGTGCAATGAATGTGATAACTCTGTCACCTCCCATGAATTTCATTACACTCTGTAGAATGCTTTCATCATCTTATGTATGAACACATTTCCAGAGTTAATCATGAAATGGTAGCAGACTTTCCCTGTCTCTCTCCCACAAGCTGACAACCTGGAAAAAAAAATAAAAAGGGTGGAAATGGGGGTGAGAACCCTACTGTAGGCTTTCTTTCTGGTTCATAGCCCCCACGATGTGATCTGATGGGCCCTTTCACCCCTTCTTGTCATGCTGAATCAAAACCTTGGGCATTTTTTCACAACTGAGAAAATTTTGAGTTCTGATAATCCATGGTGAAAGGAAGAATAGAAGAAATTATAACCATTCTGGGGCATGTAGGGTATAAGATTGAGTAAACCCTGTACAGAGATCTTGAGAGCACTGGGAGATGTGATGGGGATTCCCTCTGTTAAGAGAGGGTATTTAACAGGGACTCATGGAGAGACATCAGAAGAGATCCTTTTAATATAAAAAAACTACAGTCCCGCGGAAGAAGCATATGCTGATCAGAATTATCAGAACATGTTTGCTCCTAGATCCCCACTCTGTTTAATAGTGGGGAGATTTTATTCAAACATAATTTACATAGGCCTTAACTTTCTAATCTCTAAAATGAGATGGAAAGTAATTCCAAAATGTTGATATTTTGAAACTTATAATCAATAGCACACAAATATCACTTGGCAACTATTGGCCCTCTGATCCTTTTAAATACCAAATTTTTGTAAAGGTTTCCCTCATGAGACAGAAATCATTTGTATGTAAATTATAAGCCTGCGGTTTGCTGTTTTAGAAACAACAGTCTCACTGCAATGGTGGTGCAGGTGCCTCAAGTTTCCTTCATATTTCTAACTCAGTACTTCAAGGCCTGTGTAGCAGCATTTTCTAGCCTACTCCTGCAGTCCCTTAGTCTTGAAAGCTGCTCTCTCAGGTATCATCTAGCAGAGAACTGCTGACTATGTAGCCCACATTGGCACGGGAAGAAGCTAGGATGCCTTTAGCCAACAAAACCAGGCTTCACCTAAACATGGCCAAGGAGTCTTCTTTCCCCACTGTATATGAAGATATATGTTTAGATGCATGGAGGAAAACTAGTATTTTAGCATACTATCTTTCTGCCCAATGTAAATGATTCTTTGAGGAAGGACTACAGGTCTCCCTTAGTTTAGGTTCTTAGGATGATATAAGAAGTGGATTCAGATAGCTGAGGTTGGGAGCACATAGTTACCTTCGGCAAGTGGAATCCATCCAAATTTGTGTCCTTTGACACTTCCCTGGGAACATTAAAGGGGATGATGTTTCCCATTCTCTGCACCTCATGGACGACAGCATTGGTGTAGGGCATGGACTCTCGGTTGGCCAGGCTTACTTGTCTCATCTGGCCAATCACTCTGTCAATCTCAGCCTGTACTTTTTCTGAAAGAAAACAGGAGATCTTTTTAATTTTCAAATTTAGTTATTCCTCATAACAATATTGAAGTTGTCTTATTTTTATTTCATTTTGGTGACCTAGCTGCATAGATATTTCCTTAAACCTTCAAAGGATTGATTTAAAGGACAAATCAACAATTCAGTGATTTTTCTCTGAGCCTACAACATAACCCTAACTTTCCTGAACGGAATAGCTGTGCTCAAGATGGCTAACCTTAGCATAGTGCCTAGTCTGGTATGAGTAAGTTCTTTTTCTAAACTGCATTGCAAACAATTCACATTCATGTTTCAATGTCTTAGAGCCTGGTGATGCTAAGTGCAGGTCACCAAGATGTTTCTTTATCTGATAGGAACAATTTTTCTTTCCCATAGATGAGAAAGTTTCTCTGGATTCTCATCTCAAAGGAGAAATAAGACTCTGTAATATTTCTTTATAAAAAGAGAATACTTTTTAGGACAGTATATTTCTGTCAGGTGATGGTGTCTCAGGGCACAAGAGTGGAGGTCAGAGGACAGCTGGGGGAGTTGTTTCTCTTCTCCTACCATATGTGTTTTTGGAACCTCACTCAGACAATGGTGAAGTAGCAAGATCCTCTACCTCTTGTGCTTTCTCTCTGGCTTCTATGCTACATCTTTTTAGGTAATTTTTCCCTTCATAGGACCAATCACCTCCTAACACATTACCACTGGTAATTAAGTTGCAACAAGTGGATTCATAGAGAACATACGAACATTCAGACCACAGCACATCTGTAGGCTCTCATTTCTCAAGAAGATACATCAGCATGGGCAGTGAATAACAAGAAGTTGCTACAGAGCTTTGCTTATGAAATCCTTTAGATTTCAGTTTCCATATCTGATTAATGAGAATAATGGAGCCTTATTAAGGATGTCTTGAAATATACATGAAGAAAGAGAATCATAATAGAGAATGATAATGGTTGTTATCTCTCTTCCAATATGCTCACTGAGATGAACAAGTTTTCTAGCTAAAACCTCTATCTCCTGGCTTCTTTTGTCAGTCAATGATAGTGTCTCAGTTCTGCCAAGTAAAATACAGACATCCAGTCATGGTGACTCATACCCTAAATTCCAGGTCTAGGAAGGTAGAGATTTCTGAGTTCAAGGACAGCTTGGTTTACTGGATAAATTCCAGGATTACCTAGGCTACACTGAGAAACCCTGTCTTAAAAAACCCAAAACAAAGAAAAACAAAAAATGCAAATTAACATGAGATTTATCTTTGGAACAAGTCCCCTTAAGACAGCATATGCATCTGTCCTTCTCCTTGTCCTTTCCAGGGGAAAAATCCTCTAGAGGACCCACTTAGGGAGAGCTGAGACTCTAGCTTCAATTCAGCAACAATTTGAAGGGAGTTTGTAACAACAAGCTCAAGACAGGGTCCATTTTAGAGATTTCTCCTGAGAGAGAAATAAATATGTGTCACTTGCATTACTTTCTTTATGAAAACTAATCGGGAATAAAATACATTAACAAAAAACTTGTCACAATAATACCTTTGGGGGTATGTTCTTCATATGTAGCCACCAAATAACCTCTAATTTGTAACAGTCCTGCCTCAGTCTCTAAAATATTTTGACTAATGTTGTGTGCCATGAATCACAATTCTTGTTAGCAATTTTAATTATACAGTATAATAATGTTGTGTTCATGTTTTTGTATAAGCAATGGTCAGAACCTTCTCCATCTTGGAAAACTGAAACTCTGGGACATTAAACAATTTCTGGTTCTCCCATCTTGAGTTGTATAGAACGGTCTGTGTGATTTTATGATTAATTATGTAACTTAGCATAATATCCTGAGAGTTCATCCATGGCCTGACACCATCAGAACTTCTTTTCTCTCAGCAGAAGAGCTGCTATAGCTCATGAATCTATTTGTGGTTAGGGAACAGTCTAGCTGGTACTATCTCTGACTATTATGCATATTTCAAAAGCAACGTGTACAATTTTCATGTAAATCTATTGATATTTTATGATATTTTAAAGCTATTATTTCTAGAGGTCAAGTATGTATTCTAAGTCAGTAACTTTAAAACTTAAAAAGATTATTCTCCAGGCACATACATATTTTCATTGAAACTGAAGACACATATACATAAACCAGGTACATATATGCATTTTGAATTAAATAGAAAAATGTATGGAGGATAGTTCAAGAAGTAAAGTTATTGTCATGTAATCAAGAGGATCTGAGTCTTATAATTCATGTAAAAAAAAATGGATAGATGACATGGACTTCTAGTCCCAGGACACTAGGGAGGTGGTGGAAGACAGATCCCTGTGAGTTAGTTGCCAGGCAGTTTAGGCTATTTGAAAAGTTTCAGGTGCATGAGAGACTCTGTCTCAAAAAGTGGATGGTTTCTGAGGAATGATGCTAGTAGCTGTTTGCAGCTGTGCTATGGCTTCCACATGTGCGTGTGCGCGCGCACACACACACACACGTAGTTATTTAAACAAATATTTCTTTACCGTATGGGAAGCACTCTGATTTTCTCCATCTAAAATCGTCTTAAGGGAAAAATAGTGGGCCTGTATCTACTAAATTGATTTTATATCTCATAAATAAACTATTACCCACAATTTGGAAAAACAAAACTAACAAGAAAAACACTTTGTTCTATGACAGGGAAAATGTACCTATCCCTAAATCATTAAACTTGTCTAGACTCTGATAGAATACACACAACAGCATGGACCACACTCCCTGATGAGTGCCAGTCAGGGGAGACAGGAACAATGTGTTCAGCAGTGACATGGAAGAGGATTGGTTGTCTCTGGAAGAAAATATTAGTAATTCTCCAGTCTTCAAACTCATGAAGGGATTTGAAAAGACTTTGGGAGGTAGTACCTGAGAAGATTCTTCTAGAATGGGTGAAATCTGTGATAGAATGCTTGATACCATGGCTTAAAGGCAAGAATTAGAAGAATAAAAACAGGGCCAAGAGAGGACAGAGAGTGTAAGAAGGGCACCACCCAGGGTGGGTGGTGTTGAGGCTGAAAAAGCAGAAAGGTAACATCACAGTGCATTGAACACCAGAACAGAGTTTGGACAAAATTCAGGGGAAAATGGAAGCCTACTGACAACGGAGAAGGGACATGAATGGATGCACTTTGTAAACATCTGCATGCTTGGGACCTATCTCAGTCCTGAGAGAACATGGAGAGGACATGCCTGTTACCCAGTGCACATTGCCTCACAGCTATGACCATTCTTCCCACTCCAACATGTTCTCTTCTGGTGCCTTCTAAACCCTAAATTCCAGAATTCTGTTTTATCTAGTGAGGTCACCACCAGTTAACCTTGGATTTCTGGGTAGACCGCCATGTAGAGCAGAGCCCAGCGCAGAGTCGTGGATGTTGTCTCTGTTCCAGCAAGGAAGAGGTCCAGAGTGGTGCAGATGAGATTTTCTTCATTGAAACTTGTAGTCTTCTCTGGGTGCTGGAAAAGATAGTGTGCATTTGTTTAATCAGAGGATATGTGATGCTCTCTATACCTGCTTTCTGATGCTTTGGAACACATTTGAAAATATGTGACATATGATCCTTCAGCCTCTTAAATTGTTTCTGCCTGTTATTGAAACAAGATGCAAAAGTATTAAATACATTCATTCAGCTGCTTTCTGTATGCTTGGGTATGATTGGATAGTGTTTATAGAACATCATGGGAAGGCAGATGCCCCCCACAAACCTTATAAGTTATGTCTAGCATTCAGTTGAACTTTTCCTGTGTCTTGTACTTAGGGCTGAGAGGGAGTGAATAATTGGCCTTAGAAAAAAATCATCAAAAACAGAGCTCTATTGTTCAATTGCTAATTTCATTTTGTATATCATTCTTTCACAAATAAACAGTAAAAGGCAAGATGGACATGAAAGAGAAGTATCTGCCATTTACAAGCAGAGAACCCTTTATTTCTAATAATGCTCCATATTTAATATTAGTACTGATTTTACTCACAATCAGGTATGTAAAACATTGTCTAAAAAGATGTCTCTATCTTCATTTTTGGGACCTTTACATGCTACTTGATAAACTAAAATATGCTTTGTAGATTTGACTAATTTATGAGGGGATAATTATCTTGAACTATCCTTATGAGAAGGTGTTTGATGGAGGAAGGTCATTGGTTAAATAATAAAGAAACTGCTTGGCCCTGATAGGTTAGAACATTGGTGGGTGGAGTAAATAGAACAGAATGCTGGGAGGAAGAGGAAGTGAGCTCAGACGGCATGCCTGCTCCTCTCCAGGGCAGATACTATGAAGCTCCGACCCAGGATGGACGTAGGTTAGAATCTTCCAGGTAAGTGTACCTTGAGATGCAACACACATTAATAGAAATGGGTAATCAAGATGTAAGAATTAGCCAGTAAGAAGCTAGAGCAAATGGGCCAGGCAGTGTTTAAATGAACACAATTTGTGTGTTGTTACTTTGGGGCATAAGCTAGCCAGGCGGCTGGGAGCTGGGTGGCAGGAACACAGCCCACAGCTCCATCAACAGGTGTTTGAGGTTAACAAGCAAATAGATCAGAGGGAAAGAGATGCAACACTTTAGCGATTAAAGACAGAAGAAGAAACCATAGCAAAAGATATCATTGCCCTCATAGTCAGGTGTGGTGGTGCTCATCTTTAATCTCAGAACTCAAGAGGGAGAGGCAAGTAGATCTCTGTGAAGTTAAGGCCAGCATGATCTATATACAGATTGAGATTCAGGACTGTCATGACTACACAAAGAAAACTTTTCTTGAAAATCAATCAATCTATCAATCAATAAATCAAACAAACAAAATGTTGTTAGCTCTAGGACCTTGGAAAGACGGGGTCATATGTTTTTCATAATCTTTAAAAAAAACTTATGTGGCCTACAGGAAGAACAGATCATGAGAACTGTAAGAGAAAATAGCTGTGTCATGTTAAAGCACTAACGTTGTGGTAGCCTGCTGCATGATCATTTGGAAACTGTTAAACCACTCCATTGTTTCTAAGAAGAAGAGACAGAGGCATCTTCCCCACCTTTGTCATTTCCGTGAGGAAAGCATCAATGAAGTCTCTTGGCTCGTTAGGATCCCAATCTCTCCGGTGATTGTCAATCATTGAAGAAACAAACGATTTCAGTTTTCCCCAGTTTCTGAAAACTGTTTGGTGTGATCCAGGAAGATATTTCATTACCCATGGAAAAATATTGTAGAACTGTTTGGAAAAAACAGGACAGTTAATGGGACACCATCATGCAACTTTGCAATGTTTAAAGCTGTAGTTTTCTCTTTGTTTCTCTTTGTTTCTTACTGTGAAATTATAGGGCCATCTTTTCCCTCTCAACTACCTCAAAAACATTTCAACTCTGATGGGCCAAGTGTATTCAGTTTTAGACCACTCCTTAGTAGCCCAAGCTGCCTGTTACCTGCTATCCAACACCAACTATTTCTGGATGTTCGGACAGACAGCTTTCAACATGTTTTATCAATTATACTATCAATGCTATTACTAATTATTTTGCATGCTGTTTTCATAAAGAATATTTATTAATGTAATCACATTCCTGACCCTGTAACTTTCAACATTCAGGGATTGTCCATAGACTCAAAGTCAGAGATAGTACTATTTACCTGTAAGCCCTACAGAGATGGAAGCTCCCCCCAGATCATCATTGTCCCCATTTCTCCAGGGACTCCATGCACAGCAGCCTCTGTGATCACACTAAAGGCATTTCTGTGTTAGGCCCTGGTAGGTGCTATTCATTATGCCTAAAAATGCTCTGGAAGTTGTTGTAACCCGGTCCTCACTTCATGAAGGCACTGCTCAAGTCTCCTTGGATATCCCTTATTCTTAAAGTGACGGACATTTATTCACCTTCCTAATTCTCTGTCATGACTTATTTTCCTTTAGGGAAATTACCAGTAACATGTATTGTGTAGGTAACCGTACATTCTGGTGTTCTCACTGTGATTTAGATCCCATAGGGTAAGACTTTAATCTTCGCTGATGTAAAGCTAATGGTGAGTGATGTTTCAATAAAAGTTGTAGTGAACAGATAGCATAACACTGTTGAAGGCAGGCCAGTTGTCCCCGGCTGCTCAGCCCTGAAATTATCACACAGAAACTATATTATTTAATTCACTGCTTTGCAAATTAGCTCTAACTTGTTATTGGCTAACTCTTATATATTAATTTAACCCATTTCTATTTATCTGTGCATTGCCACATGACAGTGGCTTACAAGGTAATATTCAGTCCAGCTCCGGCAGTACTACATGGTTTATCTGTGATAAACAGTATGTGCATAGAGAACCGACTGAATAACCTTATAGCAGACATTTCCCCAAATCTAGACAAAGAAATAAATTTTCAAATCCAATAGGTTTTTAAACCCTTAAAATAAGCAGACCAGAGGAAAGCGCCCTAGTGATATATTAAAGAGGAAAAAAAAAAACTATGAAAAACCTTAACTCACATACAAAGTCATAAAAAGTATCAAATTTCTCATCATCAATCCCCAAGCCAAGAAAACATGAGATAGCACAGTTTGTGGTTTGAAAGTAAATAAATATCAACTCTGAACTCAATTGCCAGAATTGCTATGTTTTAAAATTCACAGAGAAACTAGGATATTTCAAGAAAAGTGTAAATCAAAGTAATTTAAGAGCACTAATCAAACAAGACTGAAGGCATTTAAAGGAGTATCATAAATAGAATGAAAAAAATCCAGTTTATGAGAACAGAGGGAAAAAAGAATTTCCTGAGAAGGATAGTTGAGCATATGAGAGCTAGGGAAACATCCATCATGTCTAACACAGAAAAGAGGCAATCTTTGGTAGTAATAGGGAAGAAAGTTAAGTATAAATAAACTAGCCAAGAAGAAACACAACAAAAATCACAGTAGTTAGTTTGCATGGTTCAATAACCATGTTGGATGTAATTGGTTGTAGCAAGCCTGAAAGAGACACAGACTAGCTGACCAATTAAAATCCTCAAGCAAAGTTTGTGTTGTCTCTGTGAAACAAATCTTACTGATAAAGATAGCCACAAATTAAGAATCAGAGAAAGGAAAGCAATTTATAGAGCAAACAGAAGTGAAACAATCTGACACGGCTATTCTGATTTCAGGTTAAACAGATATTAAATCCAAAGAGTCAGAAGCGATAATGACATTGCATGAGGGCAACAGTTAATAAATCATAACAAGTGTAAATAAAAAGTTATACACAAGCACACACTCTTTTACATTCCTGATACACACATAATGGAAGGAGAGAACCTATTCCTGAAAGTTGTTCTCTGACTTGTGTGCATCCACACATGCAACAAATGTACACATGTGCATGCACACACACTACATACAATGTCATGAAAATATTTTTAAAACGCAAACGCATCTACACACACATTCTCCAATATGTACACACACATTCTCCAATATGTACACACCGTGGTAGTGAGGGACTACTGCATCAGGCTTAGCAGAAGGAAACACATTCAGAAAAAAATCCAGCCCTTGTGGTTAATTTCACTATACAACTGTTTTCCATATTCATGGACGTGACTGACAGATGTGGAGAGTATTTGAGTGGCTATAAGGAGTAGATATGGAAAATGGGACAAAGTTGGGGGTGACATTTGAACCCCAGAAGTTTAAATTTTCTGTCATTAGACTGATGCTTCATGTCAATGGGAATGGGGACAGTGCATTTTTAGTTATCTTACATGTCCAGAAGCAAATATACGACAAAAGATTATTTCACATGGACACGGATATGAAACTTTTATTCATAACACCCTGAACCTAGGTATAATTCATTTATCTAACTATAGATAAACCAACAACAGTTCATGCAGTGTACTTCTAGTGTGGAGATAACAAGTAACAGTGTACATACAAGAACTCAATACAAGGAGATGTGCTAGAAAGTTCCTTCTGAAGGTGACTCTGAGGCAGGAAGAGAGTGGCATGGGAAAAGAGAGTCCAAGTAAACAATAATATTTGCATTCTCTGAAAGATATCAGCATTCCCATAGGCATGTCTATAGACCAATATAAATATCAAAATAGTTCAAATAAATGATGGAAGTGTTTTGTGTATATTAAGATCCTTAAATTGGCAAAAAAAACATCAAAGCCAGGAGGAGGACTTGAAATAGTTGGATTAAACTCAATATTTCAAATGTTATATATTAGCTACAAAATACTTTTTGAAATACCCTTGAAAGATATGCAAATAGAGTGCCTACCTGGCACATCATTGATGCCTCCAAACACGTGGCCTCATCCAGTAGCCTCAGCATCTCCTGAAACTGATTGTCATGGTACTCAAAGCGCTCCCCGAAGGTGATGGAGCAAATGATATTGGAAACTGCATTGTTGATACTGAAGTGAGGGTTGAAAGGCTGTCCTGGGGGGGGGGAGAGGGAGGGATGAGTCCTTCAAAGTTATTCATTTGTTTCTATTTCCTACACCAAATTACCTGGATATGACAGAGGAACTCACATTGCAGAGAACCATGGAAGAGGCTCTGGTCAGAGCATACTACATAAGGACTAACATGGCCCAGGGACTCTGCTAATACATTGGAAACCTGAATGATGACCAGGCCTTGGGTGCAACTCTAATGACCATATTTGTGCTTACCTGCAGAATTCCCAGGGCAAAGTCATGGCTACATGTTTACTGCCTAATCCTCAGTTCAAAGAACAGTGTGGCGCCCAGGGCAAGCACTTAGACATTTAGGAAGAATGTGTTCAATAAATAAAAGGGACACAGCCTCCCACCCCTGCCCTGTGAAATACCTACCTTCCTCCTCTTTTATGACCTCCACAAGGTAGCTGGCCTCCTCCTGTATGCGCTGCTCTAAGCTCTTCTTTCCCAACCCAAAATTCCTCAGGGTCATCAGAGTGAACCTTCTTTGTTCCTTCCATGTCTGGCCACTGGAGAAGAGCACTCCTGGATAGAAGACATTCAAAGTTTTGACACTGAAATTCTGGTCTAAAATATCCTCATGAACTCGATGACATGTGCAATGGAGAAGAGAAGGACCAATAAGGGGTTTGGTTAATGTCTAGAGAGAATACCCCAAAGCAAGAAGCATGGTGGTTAATGTCCTGGTGATCTGCAAAATCACACACTGGTATTTCTTATCGATTGTGTAATCTACTCTGCCTGTTTATTACCAACCAGCAACGGGCCCATTTCCACTGCTGCAAGGAAAGGAGGAATATATAATGAATTAAACTTTTCAAGGGAGCACAATTGTTTGACACTCTGTTTTTCTAATTCACATCACCTTGTTTCCATGACTGACCCAAAAGTCTACTTAGTTGTGGTAAGCTGAATAACAGGAATGGATTAAAGGATAACACAAGGCATATAAATTAAAGAGGTATGAAAGGCTCTATAAAAAAATTCCTTGTCAACACAAACTTTAAAAGATTAAAAAAATAATTAACATGGTAAGAAGTATCAGTATTTCACACAGAACGAACAAGAGACAAACATTCCGGTCTGTTCAGCATCTCCCACCTATTTCATGGCACATGTAATGTCATGTACAAGTCAATTTCTTAACTTTCAGAGAAATAATCAGCTGTTTAAACATAAGCCCTGGTCTTTAAGTTCTAACATCACCAGGTGGCCTTTTCCACATCATCAGTCTGGTCATTCAGCAATTCAGATACTTCCTTCCTGAAACATTCTGCCAGTAGCATCCGGGATCCTGTCATTCCAGAGTTTCAATTTAATTCTTTGTCAGAAATTTGCCAGCTTGTTTCTTCTGCCAACTTTTGAAACTGGAATTATTCAAATCTAGTCTACCTCTCTGCTGGCTGCATATTTAGGAAATCTTATCATTTCTACAATTAAATATTCCCTGTTGTCAGTTACAGGTGTACACTCCAGAACCATGTATATGACTATTTGCCTTTGCAAGTTACCAGCATTGAGACTCGGTGTGCTTGGGATAGCTAATATTATTGGTGTTTCTGAAACTCCCAAAAGCAACCACATGGTGGCTCTCAACCATCTGTAATGAGATCTGGTGCCCTCTTCTGGCCTGCAGGCATACATTCAGACAGAATACTGAGAATACTGTATATATAATAAACAAATAAAAACTTTAAAAAAGAAAAAGAAACTAGCACCATTAAAATACCTTGTCACCTGTTATTTTTCCTCTTTGCATCACCCATTCCTGTGGAAGCCATTTTGTTGGCAGTCCTGCATGAAACTCATTGTCTGGGCATCCCTCTAGGCTATTATGTCATATAGTTTTGCTCTTGAATGACTTCAGTCCATGTGTCTTCACCAGCACGGTCTAATCAGCTGTCATTTTTACTGAATTTTCAAAGCTCCACCTTCTTTAACCCACAATGATATTTTCAAGCTGTTTTCTACCTGAGAGCCTAGATGAGCCTCAGAGTGTGCAGTGTGCTATCATCTCTACTCAGAATCACTCTTGCTGTTAGGATGCAATCCAAGATCTCAGCTCTTCCTAGGCAAGGTGATCAGTTTGTACCCACTTAGTTATACTTTCCTTACTATGCTTGCCACACTGGACATCTTTCAGTTTCATGAGGCCCTGGTCTTTCTTCTTATTTCATGGGTATTCTGTTCTTGTTGACTATATTTCAATGTGACTAAATTAGTGTTCTTACTTACAGAATTTTTCCCTGAATACCGGTAGAACGTTAATACTACTGATAACTGCCTTGTCCCCTGAACATTGTAGTCCTGTGTGATTTTAATTAGCTAATTGACTTAGCATTTTTATTTAATGGAATACATGTCATGTAAAGATGGAGATTTTATCTATTATGTGCACCATGAATCACTTTTGCTTAGCACTGTGCTTCCTTTAACAGACAACTTAGTTAATTATGTACAATTAATGATTGGTTGTCTCAAGGAGTAATTAGTAAATGTCTAAACTCATGCTTTGATTTGTCAATACACTTGAAGTTTTGCTTTCAACTTTGAAACATGCAAGCTGATATAATGGCAATACTGAGTATTCATATTATTCTAGTCTAACCCTGTCTAGGAGGCTGGAGATGCCTGTGGTGCATGACAGTAGTAATGGAGTATAAGAAGCCATAAACAAGCAGAGCAGCAGCAGGAAAGGCTGACCTACACCTGTTTTCCTAGGACAGAGCATGGGCATGAGAAAAGGGAAGGAAGAACACAGTGTTTCTAGTTGTGGCTGGATGCTGTGGTTCCTTCTCATCACACATTTAGAATTAATTGTCTTCAAAACGTGTTTTTTTTTTTTAAATGTCTATTAGGAATGACACCTTTAAGTCCTCTGATGGGTGCTTTCGTTCGGAAAATATGGCATCCCTCTTCCTTTAAACATGGCAATTAGTGATGCGACTGATTTATGGGGGTGTTGGAAAGTTAGATACAGGTACATTTAACACTACACAAACACTATAATACACACTCCATGTTGCTCAATAAACTTACCATTGTTCTTAGAGATACGTTCTCGGATAAGAGTGACAGGGCGGTTCAAAATGTCTTGTTCCATGTGAGTAAAAACTTTTTTGATTAAGGGGAGTCCAGTTATGACCACTGAATTTATGTCACCAAAATCCATGCTAAGGATGTTCCCATATTTCTTCACAAACTGAAAAATATACCAAGAATTATTGTTTAGTGTGGCTGTATCTGTGCATCCAGGGATGGCAGGCATGTGTGTAGCTAATGGGACTCATGTTGAGAGGTTTCTGTGAGTGGGGGGATGTGCCATTGTCTGTGGAAATATTTCTGAAGTTGTGGTTTCCTCTACAGCACTAAACTAAAATACACACCAGAAAATAATTTTACTCTGTAAGAGTTAATTAATATGTTTGTATGAATTGACTATGCATCGACCAACGTGTCAACCAAAGGAAAGCATGAGGATATAAGTTTCAGCAAAGAATAAAATCGCTGCTCTGCTGCATCCCAAAATCTAATGAATGAAGAACATGTGATACATTTGACCTGACAAAGGTCAAGAAGGCTGTGTATTGGTTCATTGTTGGTACAGATTGTATGGGCTTCCTAGTAGATCAAAGTGATTAATGAGAAAATAATGTCCGTACTCAGCACATGTTAGACATGGGATATACATTTGTGATGAATGGAACAAACACTAAGGGACATCTGTGAATTTGTATATGGAAGAGGTTCCTTAATGTATTAAGAATGTTCTTGATTTCATCAAACTTGAACTAATTTCAGGATTAGAATTTTCCTCTTAAGTCTTTCATTCAATATATCTAGCCAACATGAACAAAATGAGCACCAACTTGTTCCTACACTAACTCATGAAGATGTGTTTCAAAAACATCAAAGGATGAAATTGAAACATTTTGACATTCAGTGAGGCAGAGAATGAAGGTCATCATTCCAGAGAAAGATTGAGATGTATGTGTACGAGGCTGCTATAGCAACCATGGAATCCTTAATTAAGCACAATATCCAGCATTGACTTAGGCAAAGGAGAATGTGTCTTCACCAAACCTTGCTGTATATGAATTCTACAATAGCAGTATAGACATCACTGTATATCTGGAGTGATGTAATCATGTAGGGTCTATGGTTCACTACCTGGGCTCTTGAGGGAGGTGCTCTCTTCCAAGTCTCAGACTCCCAGCTATGAAAGAGTAGAAATTACTTTCCCCTTAATGAATTCTATGGGCAAGGATGAAAATGGCACTGTGAGAAACACTCTGTTTAGTTCCATGCACACAACCTTTGACTGTGTCTCTTAGAAATGAATGAGCTTTATGTTTAAAGGCTTGGGGATACAAATGCATGGTGAGAACCAGGACAATAACTCACCAGTCCTAGATAGCTGCACTCACAGAGTGGGTACTCAGTATGCTTTATGATTTACTTCCTTCTTTATAACTGTTCGACCATAGGTAGAATTTTCATCATCTTTCTAAAGAAGAAATCAATTTCTAATGAAGGAATGTAGCCTAGGAAAAGTCTCTTACCTAGTGGAGGGACTCTGCCAGATGTTATGTACATCTGCAGAGAAATATGACCTTTGGATCTCTATGAGACTTGGAGTTTAGTGGCTGGTATAGTGGGAACCATGCATGAGGGTGTGAGTGACAGAGTTTAGGGGCTCAAGAAGAGGGACTTGGAGATAATGAGAGAAATGCAGAAAACACAGGATGTTGCAAAGTTGGATGAGAGTGTGCGATCGTTTTCAAAGATGCTTCCATCTGTGTGTTCTCGAATCTGCCCCGCGTTGACCCAGCTCTGCTTTTGTCATCCTGAGTCTTGACAGTAGTACCAAACTGGAGGGTGAAATTCCCCCAGGTGTCTGTGGTCTACTTCCTTCCTCTTACCTTCCCTTACTTGTGCCCTGTCTTATCAATCACAAAACCTTGGACCTTTGTGGATCCTGTCCAAACAAACGTTGTGATTTGATCTGATTCCAGTATCTTGTACCCATATTATAGATTGAGCCTTAGACTTTGTACTTCCTTATCCAGAATCCTTGCTAACTTTATTGTGTTATAGCACAATAGGTCTTGTCTGGTCCGTAAGGCAGAGCAAACGATTGTATGCCTTTTTTTTTTTAAGAGATGCCAGTAATAGATGTGTGTACAAATGAGGAAAAAGCTAAACTTGTCTTGATCAGTGTGTGGGTGAGTTTTTGCTGTATTAAAATTTATTGACTAAATTTATTAATTAACTTTCAATATCAATAGTGAAGTTTAGGGAATAACTTAAAAAATAAGGCTTATGTGCCTCCTAACTAGCAGTATGTACCATATAGATTCCCTCCTTGTACTGGAGCGGCATCCAGCATCTGAGACTCGGCACTAGGGTCAATGTTCTTTCCATTTTTACCAGCTCTGTGCTCATGTATATTTCTAGTTCAACACAAGTGATTCAAAACTTTTATCTTGCTTGGAATGAGTGATGATGGGCAGGTCCTGATCCTTACGATTGTCAACTGTTCCAGATTAATGTATTGATGTATGAAATGACCCAGAAGACAGTTGGGTCTATGTCATAAGGCAGGCAGAGCACAGTTTTCACTGCCCATTTAGTAAGTCACTTGAAAAATTGAAACGAAAGTGTTTTTGTTGAAGGTGGCTCAGAGGGGTAATGCAGAGTTAAAATTATAAATAACAATAGGAAAACAAACAATGGATTAAGAGATATAAAATATAAAAAAAAGAAATAGAAGACTGAAAATTTAATAGTAGAAGTAAATCTCCAAGTGGATTGTTGAAGAACCCATTGGGGTGGGATGTATATCTTGAGCAAAGGGAAAGGAAATGCTGAGGATTAGTGAGATAAATGATCCATGAAGACATAAAACACATCGGTTCTATTGAGCTCCTGTGGAAGCAACAGAAAAGGACATTTGGGGGGAAAAAAGGAAAAAAAATGCATTAAATTTCCACTTCCATTATCAATATATGAGAATATATGTTAATTTGAATTAAAGTTCTGTGTGGTGAGCTGTGAGCTGTGTGTCTGTGGGCTCACAATTGGTACAAAAAGAAAAACTGCATATTCTTTGTTACTTTCAAATTTAGTAGTTTCCGTGTGTGTGTGTGTGTGTGTATGCCAGATGTAAAACTCGGGTATCATTTTCAGTAGCTGCCCACCTTGTTTGTTTGTTTGTTTGTTTGAACCAGTGTATTTCCTTAGCACTAAGGAGGCACGGCAGGCTGGTCAATGAACTGTGGAGTTTTGGCTGTCTTCTCCTTCCTGTCCCTGAGTGTATTACTGAGTTCTTCAATTCAGACATGTTCTAATAAAAAGAAGTTCAATAAACAGTGGCACTATAACTTTATTTTCATTATGATCAAGTCTGGACACATATGAACATGTTATATGATATTATTTCTGAGTAGGTAAGTATATTTTTATGGTGGTACATACATGTGTGGTCTGGTGTGTAGAGAAGTAATACTTTATTTCTACTGCTTAATTGTCTTTTTACATGTATCTTTCAGTATGTACATACCCTAGTTTGCTTTCTGTTGTTGTGATGAAACACTAACCAAAAGCAATTTGGGAAGAAAGGGTTTACTTTTACAAATTATATTACACCATCAAGTGCAGGAGTGATGTCATCTCGGTGGAAAGGACTCTGCTACATTAATTAACAACCAAAATCAAATGTCCCACACACCAAGGTGATAGAGACACCTCCTCAATTGAGATTCCCTCTTCTGCAGGTAATGTCTAGGTCTTGTCAAGTGGACTAAAACTAACCAACACAATTTATATATAAATAAAAACAGAATAAATCTATGGCCATAACAAAGAAAGCTTGGTGACAGTAGTTTTTAGACTTTATAGAAGAACACAGTATGCTTTGAAATTTCTTTGAAATTTCAGTGTTTCTGAATATCTGCTCTTCACTATAATGCTGTGCATATGAACTCATTTAAGCACAGCTGTGTACACTCCTTGGTACATTAACTCCTCTTCAGGGTAACACTCTCACTGACCATCTCCTGAGAGAGCCTTAGAGTGCAGAAAATGTGCAATGCACAGCCTAAGACGACATCTGCTAGAGTCCTGTTAGAAACTGAGATGAAGACAAAATCATCTAAGGGAAATGGTACTGGAACCAATTCTTAAATGGTGAGGTTAACAGCAGAACTTATATAGTGTGTATGAAGTGAACTCCCTTGATTTCAGTCAAGAAGTTTGAAAGTTGTTTTTTTTTTTTTTTTTTTTTTTTTTTTTTTTTAGAAAGATGACCCATTGGGTCTCAAGACATTGGGTTGGGAGGCATCTGACCTGCTTTAATCTGAATTCTGATTCTTACCATATGTATGATTTGGAAGAAAATTGGTGATATTTTCTGTAACTATTTCCAAATCTATGTATCGTAAGTTTATTGTCATAAATAAACATGTCAACAGAACAAATAACAAAGTAAGCATAACAATTTATATATTAAAAGTCTTTTTTAGTAACTGATAACATCACTGGGTGAGCAGTCAGCAAGGATGTAGAAAAACTAAGGTTCAGTAAGAGAGAGCTAACACCAAAACAAAACTCCGGTCAAGAGGAGTAGAACACACACACACATACACACAAACCTATTTATTTTTTTCCTAGAGAAGCACTTTAACTAACTAAGCTGAGGCCAGGGTTTTACACACACTTCTTAAAGCAGGAGGACATACCTGTTTCTATCATAATTTACTATTAGGTCATCAAACAGACCTGGACATATTTAAAGAATTCAGCTCATACAGTGTGATCTCTAACCACAATGGAATCACCCTGGAAGTATGTCATAGGAGGACAAGAAATTCTCCAATTATTTGTGTCTTTCTCTTCTCTTTTCCCTTCCTTCCTCTCCCTCTCTCTTCTTCCCTCCTCCCTCTTTTTCCCTCTCCCTCTCTCTCTTATTTTTCACAGACAGGATTTCTCTGTGCATCCATGGCTGCCCTTGGAACACAGTCTGTAGACTAGGCTGGCATCAAACTCCACAGAGATCTGCTATCATTGCTCTAGAGAGCTTCATATTTCTTAAGAGCACAAGTTTAGAAGTTAACTCTTTGGCCTGGGATTAGCAACTGTGAGCAGGAGCATTGGAGCCATCCCTGCCCCATGGCCTGTTCTCAGAAGTCCCAGATTCAGCATCTCAGGATTAGGTCAGGGCAAAATCAGGCACCATTCTCCATTCCTACCTGCTGGATTGCTATGTGTGGTTGCCCCATGTCCAACTGGAATATGTTGCCCACAAAGGGCAGACATCGTGGCCCTGGTGGAAAGTTCTTGGGGCGTCGGTTTTTGAGGTAGTCAGCCAGGAACAAGAAGGTGACAGCAGCCAGCAGCAGAGTCCAGAGATGGAGCCCTGCCCAGAGGCTGGCCACAAGGGAGCCCATGGCTGCAAACATGGTTGGTATCCCAGCAGACTCTTCAGGGGAATGAGAGTCTGAGCTGAGGCTCAGGGCTGCTAATCTTATAGGGCTCTCAGATAATCTATTCCTCATCACTTCTGTACACACCCCTTCATTTCCCTAAGAGACTCTAGGAGCCAGAGAGCACAAACACCCCACCCTTACAGCCCCACCCCTCCCTCTCTAAACAGAGGTCTTAGGCACTGCTTCCTGTTAGCACAGGTCCTTCCACTAATAATCAGCATTCTCTGCCCTGCTCTGTCACAAGCTTAACTAGTTAGACCTTTGGAGTTGTGGCTTTTCCCTTTGAACGTCAGTTACACTGCAAATAAAAAGAATTTGGGTTTAATTTGGTAGTCATAACTTGCACTTACTTATGAACTACTTTGGTACTATATTCAGGATATAAAAATGCAAGAAGCTGTAGACAGTCCATTGATGCTCATAGCTGTAACTGAAGGTTTATGCTTTGTTGTAAAATCTGATTTTCGTAGCTTTTATTTAGATCTGTAACTTGCCAGTTCTAATGTTACACCATCTGGTTTAATTTTTGTAGCTCTAAACAACTGCTAATTACAAATTTATCCTCTGAAGGTTATGATCTATTAGTAAGTATGACTTTTAAAGACACAGAACTTACCCTGAGCAGTGATGAGGATTTAGGTAGGTTGAGCAGTCATTGACAGGTTGGTTTGAAATTCCCCTTTAATTTAATTTAAATTGGAAGAGATAAGAACTTTAAAATACTAAGGTTTGAATGTAACTTTTGTTGGAAATCTATCTCCATCCCAAAATCCTAATCATGAAAAACCACATTTTCAAGTAAAAAGATCTTTGAAAAGAAATTTGTTCTTACATATTACAGCTCAGTAACAGCATACCTTAGCATTTCCATTTATATATTAAGACTATTTTTGAAAATCATTTATTTTAATAAGGATTTTAAGATACATTTCAGAGGCATTTGATTAACATAAAGTATTTTATGCCATACAATTCTTTTTTTCCCATGACTATTGCCTTAATTGAAATATAATCTTAACAATTTTTTTTTCTGTAGAATCCTTTTGGGAAGAAAATCCTCATTTAAATCTATGTGCATAACATTAAATTTTATAGCTTAATGAAAGAATAGTTTTCCAATTCTTATGAATGGTGTTTTATTAAACAAATGACATTTTAGGTTTTTTATAAAACTCTTAATAGACCTCCAAATACCAGTTTAATAAGTTTAAGAGCTTTAGCCTACCTTATAAGGCAGTATATACTTATCAAGTCTTTTAATAAATAACTCAAACACTCACATTTAAAAATGTTTGTGTGTAATTTAATTGTGCATCCTATACATATGCATATGTATGACATATGTGATTACACACACATATCAGTACTCAATGCAAATAAAAAATTGAAGTGGTCACTACATTTGTCACTTAGTTTTTGTGGGGGACACAAAACAACATGTGGAAATAAATATCATAGCCAGGCTAGACACAATTACATGCAATGCAGGTGTGCACAATATAATAAACAAGCAGAAAGCTCAGATATCTTTATCTCTTTATGGCATGAGGAAGGCTGAGTAAAATGAACAAAAGGTCAAGTTTATTATGTGGACTTAAGGCAACATCCTTTTCTATTTTTAGAACTAACTCTCGTAGGATGAAACGTCATTACAGATAAAACTATCGCCCTCAATGTTACTTTAGGTTAAAAAAAATTCTCTATTTGATTTGTAGTAGGGCTGAAGTCCATTTCCCATGCTTGCCTCCATATCTACATGAAAAAAGGAAAACTAACTCTAAGCACAGCATCATGGATTGGCTCCCTGCTTACTATGACTCTCACCTGTATTTTATCTTGGTCTACTTAACGATGATCTGTTCCACATTTACCTGGCATTTAGTCATCATCAATGCTTAGGTGGTTACTTTTTCCTCTAGATAGGCTGAGTGTCCTCATAGATCAGAAAAGATTCGATCCATTGATAATCTGGGGAGCATATGCTAAGTTCCCCATCATGATAAGATCCTAATGCACATCTAGTACAAAGTCTAAAGACAGCTGAAGTTTCAGCCTCTTAAGAAATCAAAATGCCTTGAGTCTGATTTCTCCTATGTTGGCCTTAAACATTCTTAGACAGCCTTTTCTCAGAAAGTCATGGGGTGGGTAAGCAGACAGAGTCTCCCTTGTCTAATAATTAACTTTCCACAAAACAGAGAAGACATGAAGGGAAGAGATGGAGCAAAAAGGCCGTTGAATAATTTAGGGGAGACATAACCATCCTCACATGATTTGAATTCAGAATGTGCTGCTTTTGCAATTGTGTCTCTGGATGCTCTCTTGTACGGCAGATACTGGCTTAGGACATTTAAGAACATAACCTTTCTGAAGATGTCCCCTAGATAAGTCACATATTATTTCATCTATTCAAGAATGGGGTTTAGATGAGTGATCATCCAAATACATCTTTGTTCCTAACATCAGGTTGAGGTTTAAGTGGAAGACAAGAAGCTCTCACAACTAAGCAGGCCTTGCCTTAATACCACCTATCATTAAGTATAGATGTCTGGACCAGTGTCTTCTATGAAGTAGTTAGAAGTGGTATAAATTCCTCTTCATCCTTCTGCTTTTCCCTGCATGACTTTTCTGGTGGAAATACCAATCCCTTAGGGACAATTGTTTCAATACTTTAATAACCAATCTAGTCGCTGGTGCACTTTTGCCCCTTTAGATGATCTTCCTGTCACTCCAGTTCCAGAAACTTTAATCATTGTTGGTGATAATGAATGTAAATAATTAACACACCCTGTATGGTCACAGGTATAGAAGATCCTTAAAAAGCTAAAAATAGAACTTCTGTGTAATCTAGTTGTCCCATTCCTGGGTATACACCCAGAAGAATAAAAGTCAGCGTGCAATAAAGATAAAAGCATATCCATTTTTATTGAAGCACAATATACTAAAAATAGTACATTAAGGACAGCAATGAGAGAACAAAGTATTGCTCTACTAATGCCCCACTTGTCAAATCAATGTGCTTACTGGGTTTAGTCAGAGTATGTAGATAAACCATACCTTATATTGAACGTTCTGCAAGGCTGATCATCTGATAGAGTTGTCAATGAATATCCCTATATTAGATTAGAAAATTTCAAGTCCAGAGACCAATTACAATTCATATCATGCTTTCTTTAGCCATGTTAGTAGGTTTTTCTTCTTTATTTTATACACCTTTTGACTCCATAATGAAGATGAAAGATGACTGTGGATTTGGTGTGGGGGGGGACACATGAAAAGCACCATGTATCTGTCACTACTCTAACAGCACAGACTGATGATTGATTTGCTGTTTGTAGAAAGAATACTACCCTTTTAATTTATTGGAGGTGAAATGGTACTATAGAGGCACATGGGCATGTTGAAATCATATCAGGAAAAGGTTTCCTCCTCCTCTGAACGAAATTCAAGTTCAATAAAAATGGAATTTACTGTATAAAAATCATTAATATAGGTCAGTATGAATTAAGTAGTCATCTATGATGTAACCCTAAAGGAACATAAAAGGACAAAAAAGTGACAAAAAATAAACAATGTCTTTACCTGAAGCATCCTAAGTCCACCGAAGGCAAAGAATGAGACACACACATGTGACCTGAGAAGTGCTCAGAAAGGACTGTGAATTTTTTTACAGCTTGCTTGGACATTTTAGGAAATCAAATATCATCAGGATAATGTTGTTTGCTCTGCATGTGCTAGACATGAGATTTACATGTGTAAATAATGAGACTAGCACTGAGAAGAATCCATGCACCTGTGTGTGGGAATGGTACTGTGTTGTAATAGGAATGCTTCAAAATTTTTTCTTCATTTCCACTTCACCATATTCCAATTCCCTTTAGAATTTGATATTTCTTCTTAGACTCTCATTCATACCTTTACCAGTAAGAACTGAGTGTGATGTGGGAGGGTCTTCTGTTTTGTGTTGATTTCATTGGTTAATAAAGAAACTGCCTTGGCACTTTGATAGGACAGAAAATTAGGTTGGTGGAGTAAATGGAACAGGATGCTGGGAAGAAGGGAAGTGAGGTCAGATGCAATGGAGCAAGCCACCAGATCAGACATGCTGAATGGTGGTAAGCCACCAGCTCGTGGTGCTACACAGATTACTAACTATGGGTTAAAGCAAGATGTGAGAATTAGTCAAGAAGAGACCAGATATAATGGGCCAGGCAGTGTTTAAAAGAATACAATTTTTGTGCTGTTATTTCAGGTATAAAACTAGCAGGTTGCCGGGAACCGGGTGACGGGAAACGGCCCGCAGCTCCTTCTATATGAGTGAGCACCAAAGTTTCCCTAGACTAAATCATGAAGATGTAAGTGTTTCAAAGAAAGTAAGATATCTGATCTGTGACTCAAAAGGGGTTGCAACCCAAAGTTTGAGAGCCACTGTATTAGCAGATATGGAGAACGCAATAGAAGGTAAAGGCTCTGAGTGGTTATATCTCTGAAGACCTGGAGTAGTACAAACATGCAGATTCTACAGTTCACTAACTGTGGGCTCTTGGGGAAGGTGCTCACTTTTAAATCTCGAATCCCCAGTTTTGAATTATTCTCCCTTCAAAGAATTCCTTGGGGGAAGAATGAGAATATGATGGTGAGAAGCACTGCATTCGGTTCCAGCACCCAGCCACCCACTGCATCTCTGACAAATGAATGAGCTCTGTGTTCAAAGGCTCAGGGACAAAAATGCATGGTGAGAGCCAGGACAATAACTCACCAGTCCCAGATAACTGCACTCACTGAGTGAAAGCTTAGTATGTGTCTTAGTTATGGTTTTATTGCTGTGAAGAGACACCATGACCAAGACAACACTTTTAAAGGAAAACATTTAATTAGGGCCTGCTTACTCTTCAGAGGTTTAGTCCATTAACATCACAGAAGGAAACATGGTGACATGTAGGCAGACATTGAGCTAGAGAGGTAGGTGGGAGTTCTACATCTGGATCCACAGGCAGTAGGAAGTGACATGAGTCACAGTGGGTCTAGTTGAACTTGTGAGACCTCTAAGTCCACCCCTGATAACACACATTATCCAGCAAAGCCATGTCTATTACAGCAAGTCCATACTTCCTAATAGAGCCACTCCCTATGGAACTATGGGTTCCATTTATATTCAAATCACCATAGCATGCTTTTGATTTTCTTCATTCTTTATAACTGTTCTACTGTAATTAGGATTTTCTTCATCATTCTGGAAAGGCAATAGTTATATGTGAAATAATCTAGTCCAATAAAGCTTTTTCCTGGAGGAGCAAAGCTTCCAGGCATGTAAGGTTTGAAGACAAACACATCAATGTTGAGATATATCTAGGACATCATAAGTTAGTAGAAGATAGAGTGTGGGGAGTGGTCTTTATAAAGATAAAGAGTTAGTTTGGGGGAGAATGAGAGTGTGCAGAAAGCACACTGTACAAAACATGATTTGATTTGAATGACAATGAATGATAAGTATCAATGTTCCTTCCTCATGTGTGCTCCAGAGTCAGAACTACATAGCTCAAGTTTTGTCTTTTCTCTAGATGGTTCTTCTCCAACAAGTCATATCTTGATTAGTATCTAGCAAGAGAGGGATCAAACAGAAGTGTTCAATTTCTTTAGACATCTTTGGTTCACACTGCCTGTACCCTATTTTATATCCTGACAGCCTACCACTTTGAGACCTGAACCTATAGGTACAGTGTCAAACCAGATGTCCAGATTTGGTCTCATCTGAGAACCTTGTACCCACATTAAAGAAAGATCTTAGTCTCAGTCTCCCCTTTTTTCTTTACCCATCGCCCTTAATAATTGCATTTAACATCTGCCAGTCTCTCCTGTCATGGTCATAAGCACAGAGCCAGTAAGCAAATATATTTTTATTTTAAAAGAACAGTGATTTATGCATAAAAATCAAGTAAATTTCTAATTTCCTTTTTTTAAAAAAATGCCCAATGAAGAAGCTCTGGGAGCAACAGAAAACCTGTTTGAAACTAATGACTCCTCAGTGGCCATGTTTACCACCCAGCTGTGCTTCAACTTGAGAAGAATCCAGAAGCCAAGTACTGAGATGAATGATTTTTTTCCATTTATATCAGCCCTTTGCCTATATATCCTTCTAGTTCTGCGGAATTATATCACTAAGTTTTATGTTGTTACCAACCATATTAAAAGGAGCAGGTCAAATTACTTCTAAAATCTGTCCTTCTGATTCAAGACTGTGTCAATCAGTTCTGTCTGCCATTGTTTCATGTGGATGAGATGACCCAGATGATGTCTCAGAATATGTGATTTGGCAGAGCATGTTTTTCTCTTTGCATCATTAAGTCAATAAGAAAAATCATTTAAAAAGAGGACAAAAGGAAAATTGACCACAGCTGGAGTGATGCTTGAGTGATAAGGCAGCTTCCCCAGATCTTCTGGGTTCTAGTTCTAGCCCCCACATACCTGCTCACAACTTTCTGTAACTCCCTGTCTAGGAAATCGAATGCCCACTTCTGGCCTCTGTGAGCACCAGGCAGGCATGTAATGCACAGACATACATGCAGGCAAGGTATTCATATACTCACAGATCCACCTGCCTTTGCCTCCCCAGAGTTGGAACTAAAGGTGTGCACCACACATTAGGCTGTAGGTCTCATCATTAAGCAGCATTTTATCAGAAGAGAGAGTTTGTGTGTGGCGTGTGCGGGTGTGGGGGGGTGAATGAAGAAAAAAGGACAGGACTGCCCCTAGATATAGTGGAAGAGAATGTTTATTACAGATGTGGGAGAGGATAGTCAGATATCTGTGAGGGTTCAGATTGGACATGACCAGACTGAACTGGGCCATGTGTGGAGAGGGGGATGGGAAGGGAGAAAGAAAACAGGAAAGCAGGTAGGCAAGTGGCATGGTAAACAAGGGCCAAAGATACAAAAAAGTGGTGGGTAAACAAAAGGTCTTGATTATTTAGGAAGGGTCTCTGCGGGAAGGGCAACCCAGGGCTGGAGAGCTGAGGGTATGAGACAGGGTAACAGGTAGGGGCTGAGGGATGTTCTGAGAGTAAGTACATTGAGGCCGGGTCTGCTTTGATAATGTAAATAGGCTCTTCAGCCATTTGTCCTGAGTTTGAAACTTAACAACACAAGGGACAGGATGTGTAAGGCTGAAGCACCTGTCACATAACACACAGAAATCACCGCTGGGAAGTTTCAGAAATAATTCCATCCCCACAGCATTCATGTGCTGTGCAGATACGAAGGTGAGGAGAGGTGTTTAGAGCTGTACATGTTTTCAAATTTTTATTTTGGGCATTCATTCTTAAGCTGAGAACACTAGTGTCACCTTATTTGTGAGTTTGTTCTCCTTTTTTCCCAATTCCATCAAGAATAGGTTATCTACTCTGAAAGGGTAAGGCCTGAAACTCCTCATATTAACCACTGATATATGATGTATAATACAATATTGATAAAATTAATAAAAATGGAACATATCACAATGGTTCTTGATTTTGAAGTCCAGCTGCATTTATTCTTACCAAGTGGAGGAAGTGATTCCTGTCATTTGGCTTCCACATTTAGAGACACCATGAATATATGTGGGTATTAGGGAAGCAATATAATTTTACCAAATGAGAAAGCACCGAATGAAGCCTACAGAATGGGAAAAGAAATACTTACCAACTCATCATCTCATATCCAAAATATATAAAGAAAAGTCTATGTCCAAAAAACTAATTTAAAAATGGGGTACAGATCTAAACAAGTCTCAATAGAGGAAACTCAAAGAGCTGACTTCCAGGCCTAATTCAGGTAGAGCTACATAATTAGAGACACACCTGTCATTTGGGAGAGTCTTCATGGCCTCTTTCTATGCATGCAACCAGAAAGTAAATTCTGATTCTTCTTGTCCTTTTGTACCACTTTAGACTAACATCTCAATGTGCCAGAAACAAATGCATGTCTGTGAAAGGAGGGTGGAAACAAATTGAAGGCGCAACTCTTGAGATGCGACTCATGATGCACTTAGCATTTTTAATTCAGCAATTTGTTTTCAGCGCATTTTCTTTATAGGAGGAATCATCATTCCCCCCTGCAATTTTTAGATAAAATGATATGCCTCTGAGCTCATAATTGATTTTCCCACCACCAAATTAGGGGTCAATAGTTTAGAAACTTGAATCAGTTTTCTAAGTCCAATTCCTTCACTATTTCTTGAGTTGCCTTCATTCTCTGACATCACTCTCTTCTCATATGAGCGAGGCCCGCAAGCTTCAGAACATCCACCATTTCTTCCTGTACTCTTTTTCTCCTTCCTTCTCCAGCATCACAGTCTGGGGACAGCACAGAGACAGTGACTGACCGGGGACAGGGTGAGGCCCATTCTGAACTTCAGGCTCAGCTTCTCATTGACTGGGGGCTTGAAGGTAAAGTTTTGCAAAAGAGCAGTGAAGAAAATGAACAGCTCAGACCTGGCCAATTGTTCTCCTAGGCAGGCTCTCTTTCCTGTGGGACCAAAACAGAAGACGAGTCACTTTCTCAGCTCACTTTGGTGCACCTAGCCTCCTCCTGTAAACACTGAGCCTACCATGACTTTTGTGTCCATCTGATTATGTCGAACATCTTCCTGATTTGCCCAATAGAGCCCCATTCAAGGTGGCATTTCCTGACCTTGGCCCAACAATATGTCCCAGACTTGTGTTTTCACCTTGCCATTTTTCCAGGTATCCTGTTCCCTTGCATTGACTAACGTGATGGTAATACCTAGGCAGGAAACATTCACATGACTCTGGAAACCATTGCTCTAGGTCACGTCACACCATACACACATACACACAGTGTGTGTATCTACGTGTGTCTATAGATATGCATTTACAGGGCAGTCTCTCTAGTAAATATCTATGTTTACACAGGTAATCCCTAATGGTCCAGTACAACCACTGTTTTATCCCTCAGTGAGCATCCTCACCATGTATCCCAACAGCACTGCAGATTTCCACAGAATATCTAATCTATCTTTAAGCCCACATTTGAGTAGATGTGTTTGTGTATATGTGTGCCCATTGTGTATACACAGGTGTGCACATATGTATAAACTTTAGTGATCAGCAATGTGTGCTTATGCCCCAGTGTCATCCAATATATTTATGTATGTATTTATTTTGGAGACAGTCTCCCAGGCAACCAGGCCAGTGAGTGAGTGAGTGAGTGCCAGGGTCCTCTTGTCTCTGGCTGCCGAGCAGAAGGAGAACAAGCATATGCTGACATACTCAGCTTTCTGTGGGGCTTCTGGGGATCAAATCAGGATATTATGCTCATAAGACAAGCAATTTACCAGCTGAGTTACTATGTCAGGTACCTTAAGTAACTTGCTACTAGATTCCTTTATCCCTAAATAATACATGTTGAGTGAGAGAAAGAAAAGAGCAAGAGTAATAGTGTAAAATCCGAAGCCAAGTCAAAAGCCTCAGAATAGCTGTTCTGACTAAGAAGAAGTTTACTGAAATGTACAGACTGGTTCTGGGCAAAAGCTTTTTAGAGTGGCATTGATTTCCATTTTTCCCACTCTCCAATGTGTCAAAGGCCATCTTGGCACTATGAGTGACTGTGAATTACACTAACACTAGGAGCACATGCAGTGTACAAAGTCGGTCCCTTGGCAATGCCGACCAGTATGGATGCTGGGGTCAGAATTCACACTAGAGAAAAATTTCTTTTTTTCTTTATTTTCTCTTTTCCTTTCCTATCCTTTTCTCTTACCTTGTCTTTTCCTCCTCCTCCTCCTCCTCCTCCTCCTCCTCC